ACGCGAGCGCGCCGCGGGTGCGTTGGCGGTGTCTGGCTTCAGCTGGGTCGAGCTCGAGCGCGCGATCCAGCGTCGCCTGCCAGCGCGGCGCAGACGCCGCGCATCGCCGCGAGCCAGCGGCCGGCGCTCGAAGGGCCAGCTGGTCACGCGCGGAGAAAGCAAAATCGCCTATCATAAACGCCGCGCCCCCTATCCGGCATCTTGCCCGCCTCTGGAACGTCGGCGTCGATCGTGGCGCAGATCAGCGGGACTTGCACCGCAATGTACTTGTGGTTCTTCGCGCTGCAACGGCGGGCCCGGATCGCGTCGGGCCGCGCTGCGCGGGGCGAAGGGCGCGACCTGGAACCGGCTTATCAACGTGAATTGGGATGCGCCATGACGGCGCCGCCGTTGCAGCGCCGCCACGGGCGCAACCGCCAGGGCCCCGGCGCGCATGGGTGGGCCGTCAAATTGGGCGCCGCCATGTCCATGGAGCTTTGCAAATGCGCCTGGTGCCTGCGACCTCTTGCAGAGCAGCAGCGCGCCTTCCAGTCGAAGCTGTTCGAGGCAACTGAGCCTGTGCGACTACGAGCCCCCCGCTATTGCAGACGCGCCTGGGCATTCGAGCTGATCAGCCTCAGGCGAGGCGCGCCCACCACTGCGAAAGCGCGCGCAGACGACGCGGAAAGAGAGAGAGAGAGAGAGAGAGAGAGAGAGAGAGAGAGAGAGAGAGAGAGAGAGAGAGAGAGAGAGAGAGAGAGAGAGAGAGAGAGAGAGAGAAAGACAAAAAAAAAACATAAAGAAAGAAATAGCTAGAGAAATATATATTATAATATATATATATATATATATATATATATATATTGGAAGATGACGGGGCAGAAGAAGATGAAGGAGGAGGCGGCGTGCCTTTGGCGGGCCCCACATCCCGCCGATGCGACGCGCCGCGCAATCCGTCAGCGCCGCCGCAAATTAGGCTCAGGGCGGCCAGCCAGAGCAGGAGCCATCGTAGCAACCATCTCCTCTATCGCGGTGAACGTGTGTATCGTGTATGGGGGAAAAATCGTCGTTCCGCTCGACAACCGTGGGCGTGGGCTCCAAGCGGCAAATCTATCCTCCTCGGTTGGGCGTGCTCAAGGCAAGCCTTCGCGCGGTTGAAAGCCATCTCGGTGGATGTCAGCTTCTGGGACTTGTCAGCGGATCTGTGGGCCCCCGCAGTGGCACCTGCGGGCCGCGGGACGTCTAAGGCGACCCAGCTGCCGTTGCCAAGAGAACCAGGGACACGAAGGAGTAGACGCCCAGCAACGCCAGACTGGTCCTTGCACTGGACGGTGAGTTGCTTGACCACCTCGGGCTTCTCGAAATCAGACCTCTTCGTAGCAATCCCGGGCTCCACCAAATGTGGGGCGATGAGGTGCATGGCGGCATCGCGAGGGACGGTGGCCTGAACGCGGACGTGTATGATGGTGCCATCGGGTGAGTGGTCGAAGACGCGTCCGCAAGCAAAGGAGGACGAGGCTGCTGATTCGCCACGGCCAAGGCGTCCTCCAAATCCTTGATCGTCTGCGCGTGCTGGACCAAAAGGTCGGAGTGGCGGCCCTGCTCACGCCGCGTGGATATGTACTGCGCGCGTAGACCATCGATCTGCTCGGTGAGCTTTCGGAGCTCGCCGTCCATGTACGGCAGTACGCTGTGTAGAATGGGCGCCGCAAGCGCGGCATACAACGTGGCCACGCCTTATTTGGTGCCGTGGATCTGGGTCAGAATCCCGGAGGTGGCGGACTGTACTGTAGAATGCACCTGGGACTGCGCTTGGTGAAGACGTTCGCGATGAAATACTCCCAGACGGCCGTATCGTACACGTCAATAGGAACCATATCTCCACGCTGCCGCCGAGGATGGCGCTCAGCAGGCTCCGTCGCCATAACACTGGACTGGTTGCGAGAATCATCGTCAGGAGCTGCATCGCGCCGGACTTCTTCTTCCTCTTCTTCTTCTGCTTCTTCTTATTCTTCTTGCGCTTGTCATGACCGCCCATGGCGCTGTGTCGCCGACGGGTGCGGACGGGCGGGGTGGTGCGCGCTGGTAGCGCGCTCTGCCTGGTAGCGTGCAGCAAGATTGGAACCTGGGCGTGCGGATGTACTCCAAAACGAATCACGACTCGGCTACCGTGTAGCCTTCACGCGTTTAGTCTTGAACCCACAAGGCTACGGAGGAGGGGGAGTGGCGATCGAATATCGGTACCCTGACATTTGGTGCTTCGAGGAAACCGAGGCGGCTCGGGTGTCGCCATGTTTTGGCCCCTGGAGGCCAATTGCAGGCCCTGGGACCGTCGAACAACGAGTTGGGATGAAAAGCTGGCCCCTTGAAAAGGATCAAACAGGTCTGGGGTCCCATGCATCGAACACGTCGAAGCGTCATGAAGCGTCGGATGTCTGGGGAGGAAGGAGTTGGAGGAACAGTCGGGGGCCGAAGGAGGAGGGGGGGGATCGGGGGAGTTGGAGAAAAGTCTGGAGTCGGGGGCATGATGATAAGGAGGAGGAGGAGTAGGAGTAGGAGTAAGAGTAGGAAGAGGAGGAGGAGGAGGAGGAGGAGGAGGAAGAGGAGGAGGAAGAGGAGGAGGAACAGGAGGAGGAGGGGGAGGATAATGGGGGGGAAAAGGATGAGGAGTAGGAGGAGTGGGAGGAGGAAAGACTAGGAGGGAGGAGCATCCGCAGCAGGCCCCCAAGTCAGGAGACGGTCGAGGGCTGCATCCCGAGCTGGCCTTCCGACAAGGCTGGAAGAAGCAAGCCAAAGTCAAGCGGCTGCCAAGTCGTTCGGGACGCTCTGGGCACCGCCGGAACGCCGCTGGCGAGGTGCAGCTGCCGACCCGCGAGCGCGGCGACCAAGTCGACAAAGGCGACCCAGGCGACCAAGGCGACCAAAGCGACCAAGGCGACCAAAGCGACCAAGGCGATCGAGGCGACCAAGGCGACCAGGGCGACTGGTCGGGTGGCATCAATGCGGCGAGGCGCAACCGCCGACGCGCGAGCGAGCGACGACGTCGTCGCACTTGCCGAGGCGACGGACGGCGCGGGCGGTTCATCCTAAGGCGGCTCCAGCTCCAGCAGCGAGGGCACTGCCGCGCGCCAGGTTGCCTCCTTCCTCGTCGTCGCTCCCTGCCTCCCTCACCCCTCGACCTCCGTCGCTTCGGCGGGACGTCCCTCCTTTGCCAGTCCCCCCCTCCCCCCTCCCCCTCATGCCCCCCCCCTGTTCTCCGCCTCCTTACACATGAGATCTGGGCGCTGCAAATTTTTCGGAGCGGGCGTGTTCGACCAGTTTCTGGCCCTGGCACAGATCGACCTGGCTCGGAACATGCAGCAGAAAGAGGGGGTCGGGAGCTCCGTTTGTCATTTTCACGACGTGGCATTTTTTCGCGCCGTCGGATCTCAGGGGACCCCCACAGCAAAGCTGTCAAATCCAGAGCCCCCCCCGCTTGGATCACCGCGGAGGTTGCTAAGGGGACATGGGGTGTTTAAGTGGATGGTAAGCTGGGGTGTATCTGGCCCAGCCTAGCATCTAATAGACGTGGGTGGAAAGAGTCCGAAACGGTTCACGGAGGTGCAGGTCTGGGCTAAGTGGGCTCCGCCAACTTAGCAGAATATGCAATCCCCCGAAGCCACTTCGGGCACTGGAAACCCACTTATTTGCTACGCTCGGCCCGATACACCCTAGCTTAGCATCCACTTCGGACCCCCCCAATCCCCTTAGCACCTCCCGCGCCGATGCAAGCAAAGGGCCAGTTCGAGGCGAGGCGCAGCTGCTGACTCCAGGACCTCCGCAGCAAAGCTGTAAAATCCAGAACTACGTCCCCCTGATGTAAATGACAAACAATTGGCATGAACACAAACCTTCGGAACTCCGCGCGGCGTTCCTGGATCGGCGCTGGCCCCCCTCTCCCTGGCGCGCGGATCGCGCCACGGGCGACGCCACAGGTGCCGCCAAGGTGGCCCCATCGCCGTTTATGCCTGATCAGTTTTTTCTTCGACGAAGGGCCAGTCCGAGGGCCCAGGCAGGGCGGCCGCAGCCTTGATCTTCGAACCTCGATCATCGATCCTTGCTCTTCAAACCTCGATCCACGAATTTCGATCCTTGAGCCTCGATACGAGCCTCGATCCCCGAACCTCGATCCTCGCTCCTCGAGCCTGGAACCTCGATCCCCAAACTTCAGTCCTCGCTTCTCGATCTTCGAACTTCGATCTTCCATCTCGATGCAATGACTTGCGCGCTGGATGCCATAATATGCGCGCGGGTGCAATCGTATTTTGTTTCACGCGCAGTAGCTGCTGCCATTGCAGTAGTCCGTGCCCTCCCGCAATACTTGCATGTTCTTGCGCGCGACAGTCCGCCACCGTGCTTGCGAGGCACGAGTTGGAGTGCCCTCGGGTCTCTTGCTCAATCCCCTGACCCTCAGTCTACAATCCTGAGGATCCTTTAAAAATGGCCCAGACCCCAAATTCTAAAACGTCCCAGGGCTCCAGGGCGTCTTCCCTCATGACTTCTCGACGGGCCATGAGCTGACCTACAACCAAGGCACGGTGGCGCCACTCGATATGCGATTCACGAATGATTGTGCGTGTTCCCCGAAGCGCTTCCACAATGGCTGGGGGAACACATGCTGCGCTATCTTGGCAGAGGTCTGGGGGCGGCGAGATTCGCCGTAGGCGTCTTTGACATGGGATTCGCGAGCAATTTCGAGGAACAAATCATGTGTAAACCTACACTTTCGGAAGTCCGCGCTGACTTCTTGGATCGGCGCTGGACTCCCATCCCTGGCGCGCGGAGGGCGCCAGGGGCGGCGCCGGAGGCGCCGCCAGGGGGCCTCCAACGCCGACCCGAGAAATCCGCGCGGACCTCCGGCTGTTCGTATTCATGCCACATCTGTTCCCCGACGAGAGCACCTCCCATCGCCGACCCATCTGCATCAGCCCCACCACCCCCGCGCAGGCAGTCCGAAGGCCCCGCCCGGGGGCGGCCGCCGCCTCCTCAGCACCATCGCCGCCGGCAGCCGCACGTGCGGCTCCGCGTCGTGCAGCAGCGCCCGGAGCGCGGCGGCGGCCGCCTGGGTGGCCTGCGTGTCGCCCTGGCGCGCGGGCCCGCGGGTCACCTGTCGCCTATCCTGTCGCCTGCCGTCTGGCGCCTGTCGTCTGCTGCCGCCGCCGCCGCCGCCGCCGCCGCCGCCGCCGCCGCCGTCGTCGTCGTCGTCGTCGTCGTCGTCGTCGTCGTCGTCGTCGTCGTCGTCGTCTTCGGCGTCGTCGGCGTCGTCGGCGTCGTGGCGCGGCGGGCGAGCCGCAGCCAAAAGTCGTGGCCACGGGAGGGCGTGGATCGCCTTGGCCAGCTTTCGGCAAGGGCCTGGTCCGAAATTCAGTGGTCGCACTCTGGCTTTGCTGCTCGGCCTGCGGAGGCCTCCTCGGGAGGCCTCTGGAGATCTCTGGGCGCCAGGGCAGCCTCGATCCTGCTTGTCCGAGGTCGCGCTTCCCGATCACGCTTGCTCCCCGGATCGCGTATCCAAGATTACGTTTCCTGCTCATGTTTGCTTTGCCCCTCCTCCCCCTGTCTCCCTCTCTCGCTGTCGTCGTCGTCGTCGTCGTCGCCATCGTCGTTGTCGTTGTCCTCGTCGTTGCCGCGGCGTCCTGCGCGGCCAACTCGCCCAGCGCGAACACGGCGGCCCGCCGGACGGCCTCGTCCTTGTCGTGGAGGCGGGCGGCCACCCGCGCGGCGGCGGCTGGCGCGGGACAAAGCGATAGAGGCCTCCCAGATGAGCGATGCAAGCATGTCCCAACAAAGCACCCGAATAGCACGGCCATGTGCGCCGTAGTGTTGTTCTACAAGAGAGATCGTGGCCGGCCGGACCTAACATGCAAACGGCATTGCGGCGAGAACGCGATTCTGCAACAAATGGTGTGGGAGTCTCAAGCAAAATGGCTGCCAGACCGGCCCCTGGACCGGACGCTAGGGCTCCCCGTGCCCCCCATTGGGCTCTTATGTGATCCCGTGTTGCCTTTAGGAAGACTCTTTAGCGACACGCTAGTGAGGAAAAGCGAGTGTTACGCGAGACGACGTACATCGCGTTTATGACAACTTTCTCGAACTCGGCTCGGTCACTTCCGTGGCAGCGACGGTGCAACTTCTTCTGGACTCGTATCGCCCCGTGGTGATGTCCGACGAAGCCACCATTTGCACGCGAAGATTTTCAGGTCCACCTGAACGGGCATTCCCAGTCAAGGTACAATGGAGGAAACGCGCCCGCACATGATTGTCATGTCTAAACTGGCAATTCTCAAGTCGGCGGAAGCGTGCTGAGTCCCCACCGTAAATAAAACATGCATGTATGTGCATTGCTGTAGCTAAGCTGGGTTTTCCACTGTATTCGTTTTCTCTCGTTCTGTCTTCGTTCCGCCTTTTGCTGCAGCACGAACACAAAACGAACAAAATTCACGACATCGCTATGTAGCTCTCGTCCTGCTCCTGTGACGTTACCCGATGTCCATCTCGTTGGGGGATATTAAACTTGTACCACGGGACCTGCAAGTGTAGCCCAGAGGCAGTTGCGCCCCATCGCGCAATTGGGGTGACCTATGACATTGTGCGTGCCTGACGGGGGCTCGTGTATCGTGGTGCACCTGGCTAGACTTGCTCACTCACCACGCGCGTGCACGGCGATGCCCCGTGTTGACGTCGTCACGCGACTTCACGTGGTTACTTACGCGGGTCGCCAGCGCAACGCGCCACGTTGGAGCGGAGGCGCTTGCGCGCGAACCGGGCAACTTACGCGCCAATGTCCGTGCAGACGATCCCGTCTTCTGCGTCGCTCAAAAGGGAGAGCATGCTACGCGTGGAATGAATTAGTATGTAAAAAGTGGAATGTTGGATGCTTGAGTGGATCAGCCTAGGCAATCCTATGATCAGAGGCTTTGATGCCTCTTTTGGCTGTGCCCACCCCGTCGCGTCTCCAGGGACTTTGCATCCCCCCTTTGATGGCAAAATGGGGAGACGGTCCTCCACCCTGGGCACTGCACGTGCTGTGCCGGGATCGTGTTTTCTAGTGGTCTCCAAAGAGAGCATCTTGACGCCCCAAGGGGGTCTGAACGGAACCCGTACAAGGGATCCGGCAGGACCCGGCAGCCCCAGGATCTTCAGGAATCCGTAGGAATTCTTAAGAATCCTTAGGAATCCATTCCCAAAACACCATTCCCAGGCCACATTTTGAATGCCCGGAGCCAACAGTAGGCCACTTCGTGTTCTTCGTCTTCCCAGAACACCATTCCCAGTCCACATTTTGAATGCCCGGAGCCAACTGTAAGCCACTTCGTGTTCTTCGCCTTCCCAAAACACCATTCCCAGGCCACATTTTGAATGCCCAGAGCCAGCTGTAAGCCACTTCGTGCTCTTCGTGTTCCCAGAAAACCATTCCCAGGCCACATTTTGAATGCCCGGAGCCAACTGTAGGCACCTTCGTGTTCTTCGTGTTCCCGGAAAACCATTCCCAGGCCACATGTTGAATGCCCGGAGCCAACTGTAGGCACCTTCGTGTTCTTCGTGTTCCCGGAAAACAAATCCTGAGGCAGGCTGAGGCTGAGGACTGAAGCTGAGGCAGGCTGAAGCTGAGGCTGAGGCTGATGAAGGCTGAGGCTGAGAGGCTAACGCTGAGGCTGAGGCTGAGGCTGAGGCTGAGGCTGAGGCCGAGGCAGGCTGAGGCTGAGGCTGAGGCCGAGGCAGGCTGAGGCTGAGGCTGAAGCTGAGGCAGGCTGAGGCTGAGGCTGAGGCTGTGGCTGAGGCTGAGGCAAGGCGGCTGAGAGGCTGGCTGAGGCTGATGCAGGCTGCTGAGGCAGGCTGAGGCTGAGGCAGGCTGAGGCTGAGGCTGAGGCTGAGGCTGATGCAGGCTGAGGCTGAGGCTGAGGCTGAGGCTGAGGCTGAGGCCGAGGCAGTCTCAAGAGGCTAAGGCAGGCTGAGGCTGAGGCAAGCTGAGACTGAGGCTGAGGCAGGCTGAGGCTAAGGCTGAGGCTGATGCTGGCTGAGGCCGAGAGGTTGACGCTGCGGCTGAGGCAGGCTGAGGCTGAGGCTGAGGCCGAGGCAGGTTGAGGCTGAGGCTGAGGCAAGCCGAGGCGGGCTGAGGCTGAGGCCGAAGCTGAGGCAGGCTGAGGCCGAGGCAAGCCGACGCAGGCTGAGGCTGAGGCTGAGGCTGAGGCTGAGGCAGGCTGAAGCTGAGACAGTCTGGGGCTGAGGCTGATGCAGGCTGAGGCTGAGGCTGCGGCTGAGGCTGAGGCCGAGGCAGTCTCAAGAGGCTAAGGCAGGCTGAGGCTGAGGCAAGCTGAGACTGAGGCTGAGGCAGGCTGAGGCTAAGGCTGAGGCTGATGCAGGCTGAGGCCGAGAGGTTGACGCTGCGGGTGAGGCAGGCTGAGGCTGAGGCTGAGGCCGAGGCAGGTTGAGGCTGAGGCTGAGGCAAGCCGAGGCAGGCTGAGGCTGAGGCCGAAGCTGAGGCAGGCTGAGGCTGAGGCTGAGGCAGTGGCTGAGGCTGAGGCAAGCTGCGGCTGAAGCAGGCTGAGGCTGAGGCTGAAGCAGGCTGAGGCTGAGGCAGGCTGAAGCTGATGCTGAGGCAGGCTGATGCTGAGGCTGAGGCTGAGGCTGATGCAGGCTGAGGCCGAGGCAGGCTGAGGCTGAGGCTGCGGCAGGCTGAGGCTGAGGCTGAGGCTGATGCAGGCTGAGGCTGAGGCTGAAGCTGTGGCTGATGCAGGCTGATGCTGAGGCTGAGGCTGAGGCTGATGCTGAGGCAGGCTGAGGCTGAGGCTGAGGCTGATGCAGGCTGAGGCTGAGGCAGGCTGAGGCTGAGGCTGAGGCAGGCTGAGGCTGAGGCTGAGGCTGATGCAGGCTGAGGCTGAGGCAGGCTGATGCTGAGGCTGCAGGCTGAGGCTGAGGCTGAGGCCGAGGCAGGCTGAGGCTGAGGCTGAGGGCTGAGGCTGAGGCTGAGGCTGAAGCCGAGGCTGAGGCTGAGGCTGAGGCTGAGGCTGATGCTGAGGCAGGCTGAGGCTGAGGCAGGCTGAGGCTGAGGCTGAGGCAGGCTGAGGCTGAGGCTGAGGCTGAGGCCGAGGCAGGCTGAGGCTGAGGCCGAGGCAAGCCGAGGCAGGCTGAGGGTCAGGCTGAGGCTGATGCTGAGACAAGCTGAGGCTGAGGCTGAGGCAGGCTGAGAATGAGGCCGAGGCAAGCGAATCCTTCGGACTCCTTAGGATTTCCGAGGGATCCTCAGGAATCCATCGGAATCAGGATTCCTAAGGATTCCTAAGGTTTCCTAAGGATTCCTATGGATTCCTAATGATGCCTAAGGATGCCTTAGGAATCCTTAGGCTTCCATTAGATCCTAAGGCCGTTGCCACTGCGACTGTCATTGCGAATGCGACTGCGACTGCGAGAACAGCATCATTCTACAAGTGGATTCTCACCTGAATCTTAAGGGGGATGCTTCCAGATATGCTTATACACATCGCTGTTAGGTTGCTTTGCCGGGATATGTTTTGTTGTGTTTCTTGTTGGTTTTTGTTTCTATGGTATTCTTGTTTTTTTTGTCCCCCGAATTCTATGGATGTCCCTCCCCTCCCCTCCCGTCCTTCCCGTTACGCGCCAGGTCCTGCGAGTGGGGAAGCCAAGTCACGTATGCACAATTTTCGGATACTGCAGGGAGGAGGGAGCGCAAATGACTGCAGCATGAAGGGCGAGAGCTGCCCAGCGAACGTGGCCGAAACTTCGGGGAACAAATCCTGCCCCCCCCCCCCCGCACCCCAAAGGGGACGAGAGAGGGCAACTCCCAGAAGCTCTCGGCGAGGAAGGTCGCTGCCCCGGACACGGAGAAACCTGCGGACACACACGCTTCATAACGGGAAAGTCGGCAACCCAAAAATTACAAGTGACAATTATTGTCCGGCAGACCGTTTCATCAACCACACCTGACCGTGCAGAACGGAGGTTGGCGAAGAAAGGTCTCGTGCCAATTTCGTGCCCGCCGATTTTTTAACCGACCTGCCTGATGACGGTCATGAGGTGGGAACCCCGAAAAAGGGAACACAAAACCGTCGTACACAATTTCGACTCCAAATCAACATATGCCCAGCGCACTCGTTATCCCGTCAGCTGGGATATCAGCTGGGGAGATGCGGACTGGCGCCGACAACCCCCAGCCACTCTCGATGGGGCGGGCCGGGCGGGTGTCGGAAGCAGGGTGCGCTCCTCGACCCCAGAGGACTTATACGGGGGCCTCGGCGCACGGGGCGGCAGAGAAGGGGAAACGGGGAAGGAAACAAGGAGAGAGGGGGGGAGGAGGAGGCAACGAAGGGAGAAGCGGGAGAGGAGGGGGAAAGACCAATGTAAGAGCAACGAAGCAAGAACAACGAAGCAAGAGCAGCGGGAGAGGAGTGGGTCGGAAGGTGTCGCCGCATCGCCGATGCATCGACGACGACGGCGATCCCTCGGCGCCGTCGGCGTGGAGGAAATCGGGCTCCACATCGAGCCACGTCGCCGATGCATCCGCATCGCCGATGCATCGGCTATGCAGCGCGATCCTCCGACTCTATCTACTCGGACCCCATCGGGGGGGCCTGGAGGGAGGGAAGTCCAACGCAGAAGCCCCGACGGGGGGGGGGACGAATTCCAACAGAATTCACTGAACGCACAAGCTCTGGAGAGGGGGGGGGTGGGACGCTTCGCTCTGGAGAGGGGGGGGAGGGACGAATTCCA